AATTTCACATTCTTTTTTGAAATTGATGAAAGTTATGTAAGCTCTCTACAGGAAAAAAACACAACAAACATCCTATAATATGCCAACATACCATTTTCAAGAACGAATTTTATAGGTACACCCACTGTCATGCCTATTGACAGAGTGTGAGAAGTGGCACTAACATTGGCCCCGAAGGCCTCAGCCATTGTGGACTCTACTATTATTTTTACATGGTTCCAGTTGTTTACCCATGAGAAGTAACCTCTTGGAGTCTTAAGTGAGAACCCCACCCACCCATCTCTTGTGGCCCCCCAGACCCTGCCCACTTACCAATCACCTGTCGGTCTGATAATCTCTCACCAATCCCTTTGGCCTACCCACAGCCCCGCCAGACCAATTCACCATGCCCCCCACACCTGCTCACCTGGCTCTCCCCTGTCCACCTCCATCTTGCCCACTTCCCCTTCCCTGGCAGCCCCCCATCCTGCCACCATGGCAGAAAACATTTCCCTTCTTGTTCTCCCCACCCCCACTCCGGTTCCTACCATGCTGGACTAAAGGGTCTCCTGAACACCTTGCAGGGTCTGGCATTTTGGCTTGTGGTAAACTTACTGTGAAAAAGAGGACTTGGCTCTGGGGAATTAGCTGTATGTAGGAACTTAATTGTGTCTAAAACCTAACACAGACTACCCCAAATTTAAAATCCTTTAAGAGGGAAAAAATGAATGAGATAAAAAGTAAGATTTGAGCATCAGTTCTTGATTTTCCTCCACAAATGTGCATCTCATAAAGTTGTAATAGTAAAAATCATGTTTTAGTATCTAGGATACTTTTAGATATCAGGGTTTTTTGCAGTTTGTCAAAAAAGTTTAATATGAATGCTTGTGAGTGAAGCTTAATCTTTGATATAGATAAAACCCTGATGATCTCTGTTGCAGGGTGCAAGCGAGATCACACCAGACATGTCTGAGGTTTATTAAGGAGTATTTTTAACCAAGCTTGGTGATAGTAGAGCACAATGGCAAATCACAAGTCCGTACAAGAGCCCAACCAATCATATCCTTAGGTCCATCCATTAAGCTGAAGACCTATGTCCCAGCTTCCCCAACAATATAAGCTATCCTAAGAGACATGCAACAAATAACCTGGACACACTCACAAAGAACCTGGACACACTCACAAAGCTGCAGACGTTCACCTTTCCCTGGCTTCTCTGCCCACATTCTACTACTGCTAGGTCTCACCCTTCTGGAACTCCTTTCAGCACACAAACCAGAAACAACATTATTATAACCATTGCTCCATCTAAGCAGTACACAGGGACCATGCTCAGGCGATTACCTGTCCTGGGTCAGCCAAGAGTCAAGGTGCCAGAGTAATGGAAGCACCTGACCAGAAAGAGAGTGAGAGCCCCTGATTCCTGGGCCTTTTTTTTTTTTTTTAAAGATTTATTTTTATTATTTTTTTATTGGAAAGGCAGATATACAGAGAGGAGAGACAGAGAGGAAGATCTTCTGTCCAATGTTTCACTCCCCAAGTGAGCGCAACGGTCGATGCTATGCCGATCCGAAGCCAGGAGCCTCTTCCGGGTCTCCCACGCGGGTGCAGGGTCCCAAAGCTTTGGGCCGTCCTCGACTGCCTTCCCGGGCCACAGGCAGGGAGCTGGAAGGGAAGTGGGGCTGCCGGGATTAGAACCGGCGCCCATATGGGATCCTGGGCATGCAAGGCGAGGACTTTAGCCACCGCGCCGGGCCCTTCCTGGGCCTTTTAAAGGGGCTTGTGAGGAGAGTGGTTACACGACAATGCAATACCATCCCCTCTCAGTTGATAGGTGAGTCACAGGTGGGCAGGAGTGAATACCTAAGTGTGGTGGGCTAAGGAGTTGATTAATGCTTGCTGGGATGGGCAGGAACAGGAACTGGACTTGTGGCTAAAAACACCTAGACTAATTGGAATTGTCTGCATCCAATATCCTGGCTAAATTAGGACATGGGGAAGTGGTTGAGGATGGAATTATCATTCCATTGCTGTTAGGCCCCACCTTCAGGACAGAGAGTAGGGGACACAGCCACATTTCATTTGCCCACTGTCAATGGGAGCTGGCTATCACTGGCTGCATCCCATAACAATTTCCAGCCTTTTATTTTTTTTATAAAATAATTCTAATTATCTCTTATTCCATTAAAACATTTTCTGACAACTACTAAGGCCAAAGAATTAGGTGAATTCCTGTGCCAGCTGCTACTTTACTTATTTATTTACTTATTATTTTTTTGAAGATTTATTTATTTTTATTTTCATTACAAAGTCAGTTATACAGAGAGGAGGAGAGACAGAGAGGAAGATCTTCTATCTGATGATTCACTCCCCAGGTGACTACAATGGCCAGTGCTGAGCCCATCGAGCCAAGAGCCAGGAACTTCCTCTAGTCTCCCACATGGGTGCAGGATCCCAAAGTTTTGGGTCATCCTCAACTGCCTTCCCAGGCCACAAGCAGGGAGCTGGATGGGAAGTGGGGCCTCTGGGATTAGAACCAGCGCCCATGTGGGATCCTGGCATGTGCAAGGTGAGGACTTTAGTCGCTAGGCCACGTCTCCGGGCCCAGGTGCTACTTTAGATATCAGTTCTTCTTCATCCAAAATCTCCACATACAAAGTACTTCTGTTCCTTTTTACAGCTTCTGATGACAGTATTCAGATATTGTTTCAGGCAACTTACTTTAAATTTTTTTTTTTTTTTAATCCATCTGAAAGTCAGAGTCACAGAGAAGGAGAGAGAAGGAAAACCAGAGTGAGGTCTTCTATCTGCTGGTTCACTCCCCAAGTGGCCTCAACAGGCTGGGCCAAGGAATCAGGAGTTTCATCTGAGTCTCCCATGTGGGTGGCAGGGGCCCAAGTACTTGGGCTGTCTTCCACTGCTTTCCCAGGAGCTTTACTAGGGAGCTGAATTAGAAGTATGGTAGCTCGGACAAGAATCAGCGCCCATATTGGATTATAGTGTGGTGACTTAACTCACATTGGTATAATGCTGGCCCCGAGTTACACGTTTTATTAACCCTCATAGCAATATAACTGGGGACTTAATGTGGAAAGGTGAGCTAAGAAAGGTTGAATAGGGTTCCCAGCTTCATGACTCAATGGCTAAAACGTCACTTTGCACATGCCAGGTTCCCACTTGGGCATCAGTTCGCATCCTGGTTGTTTCATTTGCCTTCCAGCTCCCTGCTTCTGTCCTGGGAAAACAGTAGAGGATGGGCCAAAGCCTTGGGACTCTGCACCTGCATGGGAGTCTGGGAAGAAGCTCCTGGCTCTTGGCTTTAGATCAGTTCAGTTGCGGCTGTTGTGGCCATTTGGAGAGTGAATTAGTGGACAGGAGGTCTTTCTATCTCTCCTTCCCTCTGTAAATCTGCTTATCTGACAGAAATAAATACATCTTCAAAACATACACACCAATGTTAAATAACTTTAAGACCAATTCTGGTTCTAGTGGACCAGGTTGAGATTTGAACTCATATCAATGTCATTTCAGGGAGGGTTCTAGAAGATACATTTTACCTGCCTGCTGTGTGAACACAGGGGACTTTTTCTTCCTTTTTTTTTTAAATCTCTGGTCTGATCTGATCTGAATGATGAGCCCCAGTTTCCATCACTTTCTTCTACAGGTAGCCTGCTGTAAAATTTTACTGAATACCCAGATTTGTAAGTTGTGTTTTCACATTGATTTGTCAAAAGTGCTGAATTCACAGGCTATGCCTTTAAAGCCAGAATCAGGCATGAGACTGAGTGTGAGATATCTGGCCTGCTCTGTTTATGTGAAGGGATGTTTTAGATGCCAGACCCCAATAATTACTGTGACTGAAAAGTTTATGGAAGACTTGTTAGTAAACTGGGCGCTGCTTTCAGGAAGGAAAAACCCTATCGATTTGAAACAGGACTGAAAAAAGAATTTCACTCTGCAGGGTAAATAAGTTTTAGATGTAAAGTTGGTGAGAGGCCAGCCGTGTATTTCCTGCCAGTGTGAGAGCCTCGGGCGAGCCGTGAGGCCGGGCGCCCGCTGGCTCTGCTGAGGCGGCGCTGGGTCAGCGTTCTGGGACTGTAGTGCAGTTTGCTGAGTGGGGTTTGTGAGACTCAGCATCTTTCCTGAGAAAATTAACATTCTTCTAATCCTTGGACTCTGCCCTGTTTTAGCCTTTTACTTACAGTGAAACAGAAAGGAGAATGAATAGATTACACTAATACCTCAGGTGAATTTTTAAACATTTCGCTATTGTTATTATTTGGACAGACCCCACAGGCTTTGAGTTAGATGGTGAATATTAGTTGAAAAATAAGACTCCTGAGAGATTATTGAAGTGCTTGGAGGGCAAAGGCAGTTGGATCAGAGGAGGGAATTCTAGAATGGTGGTAGCTTCCTTATCTTTGGACAAAACCATGGCTAGAGGAAGCCAGCGTGCATTGAGATGAATGCCATTGAAGTCTCTGATGTTCAAATCTGCTGTAAAGGAGGCCTAAGCAGGCTAATTTGAGGATTTGAGGATGAATTAGATATGAAATGTAAAGAGATTATCTGGAATCAAGACTTTTTTGGGTCTCTGGATATTTATAAATTAAGAAACTGTGTTTGGTGGAACTTGTAGCCATTCCAGTGAGGTCTGAAAGATGGAGCGTGCCGCTCAGCAGGGCTGTCCAAAGCCACTGCACTGGTGTTGTCTCCACGCCTTGTTAGGGGGAGGGGACTGGACTGTCTTGTGAGCTTTCCCACTCTGTCCTGTGTGGATAGGATCCCAGGGAGAGGAAGGGGAGGTCCTCTCGCCTGCTTCCTGCTTTCTCCCCTGTTTCACAGTCCCAGTTTGGTACCCCAGGGGCTGTATAAACCCAAGCAACTCTTGTTGAACCAAACTGCCTTTTAACTTTGTGGCTCATACTGTGTGGCACTGTCTGGGGGCAGGAGGGTGGAGAGACCAAGGTGTTTGGACCCTTGTGGTTTATGGGATTGTCTTTTTCCCTTTTTCCCCCCAGGAACGGCGTGAATGTTGAGGGGGCGACACACAAGCAGGTGGTGGACCTGATCCGAGCAGGCGAGAAGGAGTTGATCTTGACAGTGCTGTCTGTCCCTCCTCATGAGGCAGATAACCTAGATCCCAGTGACGACTCGTTGGGACAATCATTTTATGATTACACAGAAAAGCAAGCAGTGCCCATATCGGTCCCCACATACAAACATGTGGAACAGAATGGTGAGAAGTTTGTGGTGAGTGTCAGCCCTTGATCCTCAAACATCTGGCTTTTGTTTCCTCAAGTCTGCCCATTATGACTCTGTGAGAGCAGTGGAGTAAAAGACTGCAGCCTAGGTCAGTTTTCTTACCAGAAACATGGGTGCACATAGCAGTGACATTGACCCTGATCTGTCACAGGAGATGGCCCACAGTAATGAACTGTCCAATTTCTGCTGATGAACAGTTCCATTTTTTTTTTTTACCAGTTCCATTTTATTCCCAGACAGTTTTCAGGTTTGCACCTGGTCTGTGATAGACGTATGAGTTTTGTTTGTTTCTTTGTTTGCTGCTGCTTTCATTGATTGTTCTCTTTGGTGATTGTAGTCTCTCATTTATTGCTGACTCTGAAGTTATACATCAAGATAAAAATGTGGGCAGTGCAAAGGTTTGTCCAATTTTAGAACCTTTACCTTCCTCCACTCCTCTCAACATGCTGTTGTTTTTCATGTTCTTTCTTCTTCTTTTTTTTTTCCATTATTATTTTGTGATACAGTTCCATAGGCTCTGGGGATTTCCTTTACCCCAAATCCCTTCCCCTGACTGATTTCCCTCCTATTATTACAGTAGAATATTTGTTCCTAAATGGTCATAAGCCCATCATTCTGCTGTTTAAGTGTATCTTGACATTGCCGGGTATACACAATAGCAGAGAGCCCAGCATCCTATTGTCAAGATATATTTAATGGTTTCATTGGGAATCCATCTTTGATTTGGAAGTAGAGATACATACTGCATTGTATCTTCACATCTGGATGTGATAGTCTGTATTACAAAGTTACTATATGAAGGGTTAAAGTCCTTGCCTTGCACACCCGGTATCCCATATGGGTGCCAGTTCTAATCCCAGTGGCCCCACTTCCCATCCAGCTCCCTGCCTGTGGCCCGGGAAAGCAGTCGAAGACGGCCCAAAGCTTTGGGACCCTGCACCTGTGTAGGAGACCCGGAAGAGGCTCCTGGCTTCGGATTGGCATAGCATCGGCTGTTGCGCTCACTTGGGGAGTGAATCATCAGATAGAAGATCTTCCTCTCTGTCTCTCCTCTCTGTATATCTGCCTTTCCAATCAAAATAAAATGAATCTTAAAAAAAAAACAACAAAGTTACTATATGAAAATGAAAAGCCATAAAATAAATCAGTCTTTTTCACTTTCTTTAGAGCTCTGTTTGCATGTTAAACTATGATTTTTCCTGAGATCCTAACTATATTCTCAATATAATTCCCCTGAGCCATTTTGTACACTTTCAGTCTGTTGCTATTATAGATGCTGCACAAAAGCCCATCTCAGGTACCTTCCTTTGTTCTTCAAAACCCAATTTCTGTTGCTGACCCAATCTACTTTTCTCTTTCTTTCTTTCTTTCTTTTCTTTTCTTTTTTTTTTTTTTAATTTATTTGAAAGGTAGAGTTAGTGAAGGAGACCCTGAGAGAGAAAGATATCCTCCACCCCCTGGTTCACTCCTCAAATGGTCACAGTGGCTGGAATTGAGCTATTCCAAAACAAGAAACCAGGAGCTTCTTCCAGTTCTCCCATATGGGTACTGGGGCCCAAAGACTTGAATACTTTCCCAGGTGCATTGCTGGGAGCTGGATCAGAAATGGAGCAGCCAGGATATAGATTGACACCCATATGCGATGCTGGTGCCGCAGGCTAATGCTTGATCTACTGTGCTATGCCACCTGTCCTTACTTAATCCTCTTTAAAAAAACAAAACAAATTGTTGTTGTTGTTGTTGAAAAGGCAGAGTGGCAGAGAAACAGGGATCTTTTATCAACTGGTTCGCTCTCCAGATGCTGGTAATAACCAGAACTAGGTCAGACTGAAGCCAGAGACGGGACCCTACCTAGCACTCCATCTAGATTTTTCACATGAGTGGAAGTAATCCAAGTACTGGGTCATCATCTGCTACCTTCCCAGATGCATTAGCAGGAAGCTGGATTAGAAGGGGAGCAGCCAGAACTTGAAGCAGCACATGGATATGGGATGCCAGTGCTGCGAGCTACAGTGTAATGTGCTGTGCCACAATGCTGGCCTCAGTCTACTTAATTTTTCTCTTGGTTACAGCCTTACTTATTATTTTTAGAAAATGGAGTAGGTACTGTTCATAGTCAATAGGGTTTTGTTTTTAACTTTTTTTGTTTGAAAGAGCAGCTGAGACAGAGCTCTTCCATTCACTGATTCACTTTCTCAAATGGTTGCAATTACCAGGGATAATCAGGCCGAAACCTGGAGTCCTGGAATTCTGTCTGAGTCCCCCATGTGGTTGATAGGGCTCATTGCTTAAAACTTCCTCCTCTGCCTTCCCATACACATTGGCAGGAAGCTGGATCCTAAGCAGAGTGGCAGGACTCCAAATAGGGTTGAGATAATAGGATGCCTGTGTTGCCAGCAATAGCTTAATCCATGGCAATACAGCTCTATCCCTTAAAGAAGCTGATCTGCTATTTAAAGTTTGTAATCTTTGAAATTAGGATTGTCCCCTGGATAAAAACAAGCCCTAGGTATTTATGGTGAATTCTCTTTAGTGGACAGACACTTAGAAAAGCAATGGAGAAAAATGAATTCATGAAAAAAATACATGCCTGGATTTTAGATATTTTAGTGCCAAAATAAATTTATCTTTTTTCATTTTGACAAAAAAAAAAAAAAAAAAAAAGAAAAGCAATGGAGCTAGGAAAGTTATGAAGAGATCAAATGTTGTTTCTCTGCATCTATAAAGCTACCTGGGGAAAACAGTACCAAGGCTTTATGTCAGCCAGCAGATTCTAGAGAGATTTCATCATAATTGGAGTGGCAAGATCGGCAGCAATACAGAACTGTTGAACTATCAAAACCACTTGAGCACGCCCCACATCAGGGACCCTAGGATGGTGGGAAGGCTGGGGGTGGCTTCTCTCCTTATCTCTCCCCTCCTCAGATACAGGAAGGAAAAAGAGAATGTCAAAACAATGGTCTCACTCACTTTTCCTCTAGACCTTGACCCTTCACACCTAGTCAACTATGTAAAAATTATCAAAAATACTGTCTGACCTTGTTTGTACCAACAATGTTGGGGTACACTTAAATAAGAGACTGATAGAATTATGATTCCTTATGAAGGACTACACTATTTTAGTAAAATGGGGAAAATGTGTCGAGAGGGTGGGAGCTGGTAGGGGAAACCCAGCCTGTATGATATTGTACCAAAAATTCAAAATTCAAAATAAAGATATATTAAATTAAAAAAAAAAAAAATTTGTGGGCCCGGAGCGGTGGCGCAAGTGGTTAAGGTCCTCGCCTTGCACGCCCGGGATCCCATATGGGCGCCAGTTCTAATCCCGGCAGCCCCGCTTCCCTTCCAGCTCCCTGCCTGTGGCCTGGGAAAGCAGTCGAGGACAGCCCAAACCTTTGGGAACCTGCACCCGCGTGGGAGACCTGGAAGAGGCTCCTGGCTTCGGATCGGCATAGTATCGGCCCGTTGCGCTCACTTGGGGAGTGAATCATCGGACGGAAGATCTTCCTCTCTGTCTCTCCTCTCTGTATATCCGCCTTTCCAATGAAAAAATAATAAAAATAAATCTTTAAAAACAAAACAAAAAAAAAATTTGTGTGTGGGTAAGACTAGTATTTTTTCCATATTGTTTCCTTCATGTTTAAAGAGGGGGCGGCATTAAGGGAGAAGGCCCACCCAATTTCCCACCCTCCCCATGTCCCGGATATAGGGTATGCTCCAAGCACGATGAGGTCCTTGAAGAATCCACTGATTGACATAGTCCAACATAGCTGAGATGGTTGGTTGACCTGTTCTGTCTTCTCTCTTTTCTTGGTTAGAGTTCTGAGTCCAGCATTTTGATTGGGGAGATCTCCAAAGAAACTTTGTCTGAGGTGTACTCAAACCAGATTCTTGTATGTGCTAGCAAGTACAGAGCCCAGCACAGTCCATTGCCCCAATCAGCTGGTGGTTGCAGTTGCTGGGTTGGTTCTTTTTTCACTCCTGACTTCCACTGGAACCAGTGGGTGTTGCAGTCCAGCCTGGTTCTGCCCAGCACATACTTGGCCCTCCCATAAACCAGTGGGAGCTGCAGCCTAGTTGGAGTGACCCACAATAACTCCCACCAGGCCCGCCCCCTACCATGGTTTGCCAGTATGTGTAGCAGTAATCCAGTCTGTCCCACACCCCATTCCACCCCAGCCGCTGTCCTAGTTTTATGCCTTCCCATGGAAGTGGTAACCCAAGAAGGATGAGCCCACTATTTCCCTCCCAGGCCTCTCCCAGTCCCAGATTATACACTAAGAGAGAAGAGACCAAATGTTGTTTCTCTGCATCTGTAAGATACCTGGAGAAAATGGTATAAAGGCTTTATGTTAGCATGCTCTCTGTATTCAAAGATTCCCATATAAATTGACAAGTTTTATGTTCTAAAAGTGCTAACTGCATCATAAGGCAAATTAAGGCATTGAAATTAAGGTCAGGTCCTAAAAGTAGAGCAGATTAGATGTTGAGGCCTTTTGGGAGTTACCCAAGACCTTGGGAACTCCTGTAGATTTCAGGAAGAAATGAGATGCCTGACTGTCCTTTAATGATGAGTCTGACTGTCTGAGAGTGATTCAGTCACCTGCACTGACCTTCACCCACATCAACTGCTCTCCTCTGGTCCTCTTCCTCCCCCACTGCCTGTCGGCACCCAGGCTGCTTGCTTGCTCGCTGCTTTTCTTTCTTTCTTTTAATTTATTTCCTTCCTTCCTTCCTTCCTTTTTGGTTTATTTATTTTTTAAAAGATTTATTTATTTTTATTGGAAAGCCAGATGTACAGAGAGGAGGAGAGACAGAAAGGAAGATCTTCCGTCCAATGGTTCACTGCCCAAGTGAGTGCAATGGCCAGTGCTGCGCAGATCTGAAGCCAGGAGCCAGGAACTTCTTTCCAGGTCACCCACTCAGGTGCAGGGTCCCAAGGCTTTGTGCTATCCTCTACTGCTTTCCCAGGCCACAAGCGGGGAGCT